GGTCACATGGCTGGCAAGCCACTCCCACCTGGTCACATGGCTGGCAAGCCACTCCCACCCAGTCACATGATCGGCAAGCCACTCCCACAAAGCAGGCCATCCTACAGAAGAGGTTCTAAAAATTTTGAAACCTACCACTGCTGGAAGTCCTCCGGAGGCCAGAAACGGGCCTGTTTCCGGACTTCTGGTACTTCCAGTAGGCCTGTTTTTTGCCCTCCCAGAGCCTCCACGCAGACCCTGCACTTATCTGGCATCCAAAACAGGCTGTGTGGACACTCCTGGGAGGGGAGGGGTGGGCGGGGTCATCCAGTCCTTGCAACTCCTGGTTCGATGAACCAGATTAAAATTAACATCCAGTTCACCCGAACCGGCTGAATCCCACCCCTGCCTGCGGTGCCCTACCAAAAGCAGCTTCTTTAAGCATTCAGTTTCTGCTGCCAGTTGAGAGAAAAGCCTCCGAAAATCAGCCTCAGGGAAGGAAAGTTTATGAGTCCCTCCCCACCCCTAAACTCATCTGCCATGTCACCTATCCTGCTTGCACCATTGTGGATATTTTCTCCATGACTTTCATTCTGGCCAAATCATAATCACAACAGGGAGTGGGAGGGAAGCCACCCTCCTTTTTCACTGTCTCTCTGATGGCTGATCAAATCTTTCCAGTCTTACATGGCTGGCACATACCAGTTGGGTCATGTGAGAGGAGGGTTGCGTAAGCCATGAGCCAAATCAGTGACTGTGAGGATAAAAGAGAAGCCACATGTACCTCCAATTAATTAATGAATCCAATTCTAATCCAAGACTACAGAAGGGGCCAGCAGCACTCCTGTGATTGCCAGGGGCTAAGAAGAAGGGGAATGCACTGGATCAGTTGGCCTTCATTTCTTGTTTTTGCAGACATTAACAGCACAATCGCAAGCCGGAAACACAGTGGGAGGAACGGAGGGCAGCCAGGGAGTGTTGGTGAAGGGTCTGGATTGCGACACAATCACCCAAGTGAAAGAAAAGATCCTGGACCAGCTCTACAAAGGGACACCTTATTGCCATCGACCTGACTCGGACTCACTTGACTTGGGTAAGTCAAAGACATTGGAAGGGCCACCTTGAGTAAGATCCCTTGTCAGCTTTGTCCAAGTTGTTGTGGCCCGCCAGTGGAACTGGCAGCAGATTCGGACAGTGAGGAGGTTGGGGAGGAAC